TTCTAAGTGAAATAAGCCAGAAAGAGAAAGAAAAATACCGTATGAGATTGCTCATATGTGGAATTTAACAAACAAACAAACAAACAAACAAAGTATAAATACAAAACAGAAATAGACTCACAGACATAGAATACAAACTTGCGGTTGCCAAGGGGGTAGGGGGTGGGAAGGGATAGATGCGATTTTGAAATTGTAGAACAGATAAACAAGATTATACTGTATAGCACAGGGAAATATATACAAGATCTTATGGTAGCTCACAGAGAAAAAAATGTGACAATGAATATATATATGTTCATGTATAACTGAAAACTTGTGCTGTACGCTGGAATTTGACACAACATTGTAAAATGATTATAAATCAATAAAAAATGTTTAAAAAAAGTTTCTGACCTCTTCTGTAGATAAAAATATAAAAGATACCCTGGTTCAAAGCATGATAGCAATTTGGATCTAATCAAGAGAGAGAACCCACACAATAATTCAAACAGGAGAAGGTTAATATCAAGATCATTAAATTGTGATAAACCATAAGATGTAGGAGAATCTCCATGACAGCCCAGGGTTGAAGGAGAGCAACCAAGGAAGGATAAACCTGGAATGGGGACCCCCTCCCCAAGGCTACCATTTAGACCTTGTTGGATCTGGTATAACTGCAGCCCAATGGAAGGCAGAGAGGTTCACTGGTTTGTACAGGCCTGAGCTGGTCTGCAGTTGCTGGACCAACAGGAAGCAACTCCCAGAATGCAGGTGGGGCGAGCCACAACCAGCGGCTGGCCAATACAAGTGTGCAAAGAAAGTGAGGGCACCAGGGTGAGAAGGAGACCTGGAGCTGTGGTGCTGTGTGAGAAGGGCTGTGGCACCAGGAGGGCCCAGGAGACAAGCCTGGGGGATGGGAGCACAGGGAAGCAGACGGAGTTGGAGCAGGCAGGATTGACATTCCCTGTCCATGCTGAGAGAGCTGCAGGAAGGTGACCAGCAGGTCAGACTGGGGCTGAGACACCGTCAGGGACCCCTGTGTTCTAGGCATATGATGGGGGCAGAGCACCACTGGTCATTCATTCTCACACCCTCATTCCAGACCAGTGGTGCAGCCACCAGAAACAGCAGAAGAGTTCCTTCCCGTTTCAGTATCACTTCTGCTTCCTCTGCTGAGAAAGCTGAACATCTTGCTGCAAGCTGTAAAGAAGAAATGCTTAAAGTCATACTGGGGAGCAGATAATACTGGGGAGCTGAGAGGTAATGAATTGATAATGGACACAGCGTGGTTGAGGACTGGTGTATGATGGGCAGTTAAGTATTTGACCCAGCCCATATTCTATTAGAGGATCTTGGAATAAAAGTGACAAGTAGTATTTTTTTTTTAAACAAATGAGAAACCTGAGTCCTACATTAACTTAATTGCTCAAATTTATGGAGGTTTTAAGTAAAATTCTAGACTTTATGTTAAAATAAGTCCAATTATATTAAAGAGTTAAAAACATATAAGATCATCAAAAAATAGTAGACATCATATGTGTAGTGGAATTATGCATTCTTGGCTTTCAATGAATTGAATGAATCTCAGTGGGAAACATTTGCAAGTCTGTAGAATAAATCTATAACTCAAATAAAAAGGCAAGCCAACTGGGAGAAATCTTTTCATCAAGTAAAGCAGAGAAAAGTCTCACCATTGAAAAAGCTCAGAAAATTGAAGGGAACAACATCAACTTTAATGTAAATAGAACAAGGGCGTGAATAGGTGAGTCACAAAGAGGAAACACAAGTAATAGACAGACATAAGAAAATGTTCAACTTTACTACTTCTTATTGAGATGCAAATTAAAATATAATGGGGTACAGTTTTGCATGAAATTCAAAAAACAAAAGAGAATGCTGGTGAAAAAAAAAATGGTGGAACTGGTAAATGATTGATGGCAATAGAAATTGCTAAAACTTCTCTTGAATCCAGATGTTTATATCTCTGGAGTAATCCTAGTTCTGGGAATATAATCTAAGGAAATAATTACCAAAAAATAGGAAAAGATTCTATGCATGTGTCTATGGCAGTCATTTAAAGGATTGAAAAATGGGAAATAATTCAAATGTATGTTAAAAAGGTCAATAATTTTGTAAATCGTTCTCTTAATCATGTAATTCATTTGGCCATGATCATGGCCTGTGATAAATGATTTGGCCATGACCAAAAAGCATTGGAAACTAATGGATCGGCACCACAGTCCTCCTCAGGCTCTTAATGCTATTTGGATGGAATTCATGACTTCAAATTTCATTAATTTAATTTTATTTTCCTTCTATTCTCCTTCTATTCTAGGTGAGGAAAACAGATGTCATTATCTTCATTGTCTGCAAAGGAAGCAGGCAAACTGGGCCTTAAAAATTAAAAACCACTGTTTCTCCCCACTTTGGGGACCCTTTCCCGCAGACATCTTTGCACTGACCGGGAGAAGTTGTGCTGGGGAAAGTGATGCATCGTTGCTTCTCGTGTGAACCTTGCCTGCCTCTGCATAAATATTTTATTTCCCAAAAGCCATTCCTACCAATTGCCTTGTCATTTACCAAGGATCTGGACCACATGCCAAGGCAGCCCACACCCTCCCGCTTACTGATAAGGCTTACCTGTTTGAATTTCTACTTCCCATCTGCTAGTCTGGTTTATCTCCTTGTCAGATCGCGTGTTCTTTAACACACTGGGCACCAGATGGCCCCAGCAGAAGTGGCTGCTTTGTTGCCCACCTATGGGTACAAATTATGTGCCTTTCGACACTAACCTGTAATTATCAGCTCCCCAGTACACTTGAAATTTGCTTGGACTGGGCAGATATTACATAATTAGAATAACGAAAAATTAGTTCCCTTCCCCAGTTTTAAAAATCAAAGTGTATTGTGTGCACCCAGAATAAATAAGAAATTGTATTTTTCCAGGGTAAAACTGAAAGACCTATACCTACAATAATATCATCACTGAATCTTGACTGAAAAAAAAAAAGCAAATCCCAGAGACTATATAGACCATAATCATACTATTTATAATTTTTAAACAATTAAAACTGCATATCACTGGGGAGTCCCCTAAGTCACACCTGTGTGTGCTCAATCCTAGGCATGGCTAGCATTTCACATTTCATTTCTGGGGCACTGAAGTCGCAGGTGAGTACTGGGCTCATGAGGTTCCCTGTGGCCAGCCTTCCTCAGCTCCTCATAGTTGGGTACCACCTTTTTCCCCACAGACCCCTTCTCATTTCCTTAGTGAGTCCTGACAGAGGCTGAAGCAACCTGGGATTCACCTAGTCCTCCCCTTCTCTTCGTCTCACCTGCCCCATCAGGATGAGGGAGAGATGCCCTCTCCGTAGCGCCCTTGGCACTGTGGTCTCCCTCTTCCGGCACGAGGCTTTGGGTTTCTGAAGATCTCTCTGCTGGATCTCCTGATACCATGTACCTGTTAGGACATCCCACTAACTCATCGGGGATTGCCTGGTGCTGAGTGTGTCCTGCAGCTTGACAAGAATTGCTGCCCCTTCCACACTGCGCCATATACACCTGGTTGCACCTCTGATGAAGCTGAGCAATAGGACAGGCCCCCAGAGGCCACCCCACTCGGTGTGTCTTTGGCCAAATCTGGAGCCTCCATCTTAGGAGCCCAGGATCTTGCTGCTGGATGCCTTTTCAGGCAGATTCATAGGTATATCTTCTCCAGGCTCTTCCTGCTCATTTCCAGTCTCAATTCATCTGCTTCTACCTTTCAGGTGCCGAAAGTTCTCCAATGATAACTATCGCCACCCACATAATTTCCCACAGGCCAATTACGTGCTGGGTCCTGTCACGGATTCTTTGTTTCATCAGACTCATGTACTGATCCATGTCACGGTCAATTTTGGAAGTTCTTGTTTTCCCTCTCAGATCTTAGAAAAGGTCGGCATTTCAAATACAAAGTCCAAATGGATTTTTCTTTTTTTAGTATTATGCCTTAAAATTGTCTATGACAATGACTACATTCTCCAAAATCAGAATTTAAGATTCTTTAGAAACTCTGAAGTATTTCTAGGCAGCAAAGGAAAACCACCTGCTTCCTGTCTTCCCTGAGGACAAGTCAACAGGAAACAGCTTTAACTTGTATCATAAATTATGGGGATTAGAGGAAATACAACATTTCCCAAGAATGAGGTCTGTTCAAAAAAATTTGCACAGAGTAACTGTTGTATGTTGGAGACTCTCTGGATTAAGGAGATGAAAGGTCTTGATGAGGCCCTTATCTCATGAATTATCTCTTCTCTTGTGTTAGATTCACTTCGGGTTTCTTCCAGGAACCCAAATGATAAAACAAGAACTCCCTCTCCTCTGCCTTTTGTGGCTTCAACTTTGTTTTGTTGATTTACCACTTTCATTCATTTGCTTTCCCAGGACCAGAATCCTTTGACTCTGAACAATTAAGTCTGACTTTTCTTCAGGGAAATTTTTTTTTCCTAGGCTTTGCTTCCCTTTTTAAAAAAGATGAATGTGTGTACATGTGTGCATGTGCCCATGTGCCCTTCTAAATCTTTATTTCTCCAGTGAATAGTATACACCTCATCTCTCCCTTCAAGGGTTGCATGAACTTGAAAACTTAGACAATCTGCTCCATAAATAGACAACTTGATAGTTATTTTCAAGAAATGCCATGTACTTCAAGTCCTCAGGAAAGCCTCTGGTTTTCAGGCTGCTGGGAGATCTGCTCCTGCAGAGTTTCTTCCTCTAAGAGTGTCATTCACAGGAATCTGGAATCCAAGAGGCCAAAAAGACTTGATTCCTCCTGGAATCTGTTCCTTCCCTCCAGAACCAAAGAGTGAGAGGGTGGTGAGATTAGGTCATCTCTCCCGACCTGTGTGTCCATAGATATTTAACTT